GGGGGGGGGGGGGGGGGGGGGGGGCGGGTGCCCGGGGGGGGGGGGAGCCGCTGCGCTGCCGGAAGGATGAGGATGAGGAGGCGTTACACCTCGCCAAGCGGAGGAAGCTGCTGTGCTCCGAGTTCGCCGCCATCACCAGCAGCGACGCGGCGGTGGCGCGCAGCTTCTTGGCCGGCAACGACTGGCACATGGAGGTACGCCCGGGGGCGGCGGCGGGGCCGCGGGGTTGCCCCGGCGGCGGCCCCTTCCCTGCCATCTGCTTCTGTGTTTCAGAGGGCGCTGAACGCCTATTTCGAGCCACCGCTGGAGGAGAAGGCGGCGGAGGAGGCGGCGGCAGGCGGGGTGCCGCCGGCCTGCGCGGGGCCCGGGAGCTGGTAGGTGACCCCCGCTGCCCCCGCTAGTTCTCCTTGTTTCCCAAGGCTGCCCCCTTCGAGGGGAATAGCCAGCTCCTCTTGAGAGGCTGTCAGGCTTGTGGGCTGCACTTTCCCTCTGTGAGTGCTTCAGCTGCCTTCCTCTGGGCTAGTAGATGGTGAGCCTTTCGGAGAAGGGACAAGGTAATTTTCTTTTCATTGTCTTGTCTTGTGCAGCAATACATATGCAGGTTTTACTGTACACACACACATTTGTATATGTATAAACTGTGCATGTATGTCATATGCTAGCTCTTGTGAGGCCCCGCCTGGAGTACTGTGTTCAGTTCTGGGGCCCCCAACGTAAGAAGGACAAGGACCTGTTGGAGCGAGTCCAGAGGAGGGCCACCAAGATGGTCAGAGCACTGGAGCACCTCTCCAATGAAGACAAGCTGAGAGAGTTGGGCTTGTTCAGCCTGGAGTAGAGAAGGCTCTGGGGAGACCTTAGAGCAGCCTTCCAGTACCTGAATGGGGCCTACAACAAAGCGGGAGAGGGACTTTTTACAAGGGCACACAGCGCTAGGATAAGGGGTAATGGCTCTAAACTGAAAGAGGGTAGATTTAGATCAGGTATAAGGAAGAAGTTGTTTACTATGAGGGTGGTCAGGCACTGGAACAGGTGGCCCAGAGTTGTGCGTGCCCCATCCCTGGAAGTGTTCAAGGCCAGGTTGGATGGGGCTTTGAGCAAGCTGGTCTAGTGGAAGGTGTCTGCCCATGGCAGGGGCGTTGGAACCAGACGACCTTTAAGGTCCCTTCCAACTCAAACCATTCTATGATTCTATGATTTATATTTTTATAAATAAAATTGACATGTACATGCACACCTTGTTAAATGTACCAGTGGAAGTTAGGATCTAAGATCTGTGTGTCACACACACTGACGATCTCACAGCGTACCTGTAGGGCATACCAAGGGTATTGAACTGCATGTGGAATTGAACTTTTACAGATCCCTGCCACTCACAGTCCTGAGGGAAGCTTTTTTTCCTATAGATTTATTTATTACGGACTTGCATGTTACATAGAAGAGCCCTTATGATCTTTGTAGTTATGAATAAGATGTATTTGATAACAGCATACCTGTTTTTGCTTGATATGTATGTATGAAAAAATGCAAGCCTACTGAACATTCGCACTGGTCTCTAGGTAGTCCACAATGAGTCAGAACTGGCAGCACCTTTTTCTTTTCTAGCATCTGTCTGACTTTGCACTGCGGCTTCTGTCTTGAGCTGTTGTATGCAGGGTGTGTTGGGAGGGAGGACTATTTGGAGACCTCCCAGTCGGGGGAAGATCACTGCAGACCATGCAGACTTACATATTTCATCTCATAGTACTTCAGGTTACAGTATAAATATAAAAAGTCGTCATGGAAATATTTGAGGCATATACCACATTATTTACCTACTGAAATATCCCTTAACTTCCTCTCCTTTGTCTGCTTTTCTTTTTCTGTTCAGTTTAGATTACGTATGCATGGTAGTGTTATCTTACATTTTTTTGTGAAGCACCAAGAACAAAACCAGTACTAAATTCTAGGGAATAGATTTGTTTTGGTTCCAGGCCTTATTTTCTTGTGCGCATACAAATTCTGTGTTTAAAAACAAAACTCTAGTATCCCAACTTTGCCAAAATACAGTTTGTCTAGTCTTAGCTATACTTTTTAATGTATTTTGTTACAGACTTTCCTTTTACTCAAGCAATTTACATTGTATCAGTGTTGTGGTTTAACCAGGGTGAGCAGCTCAGCCCCACACAGCCACTTACTGACTTCTCCGGGGTGGGATGGGGGAGAGAATTGGAAGGGTAAAAGTGTGAAAACTCGTGGGTTGAGATAAAGACAGTTTAACAGGTAAAACAAAAGCCGTGCACACAAGCAGAGCAAGACAAGGAATTCATTCACTACTTCCCATGGGCAGGCAGGTGTTCAGCCGTCTCCAGGAAAGCAGGGCTCCACCACGCGTAATGGCTACCTGGGAAGACAAGTGCTGTAACCCTGAACGTTCCCCCGTCCTCCTCCTTTCCCCCAGCTTTTATTGCCGAGCACAGTGTCATATGGCATGGGATATCCCTTTGGTCGGCTGCGGTTGGGGTCGGCTGTCCCAGCTGTGTCCCCTCCCAACCTGCTGCCCACCTCCAGCCTACTTGCTGGTGGGGCAGTAGGAGAAGCAGAGGAGGCCCTGCTCAGCAACAGCTAACACATCCCTGTGATACCAACACTGTTTTGGTCACAGGTCCAAAACACAGCACCATCTGAGATGCTATGAAGAAAATTAACTCTATCCCAGCCAAAACCGGTACAATCATGTGATAGCAGGTAGAGTCTGGTTCTCTTTAGCAACACAGTCCCCAAACAGTTACTAGACTGGGCACTCAGACTTTGACAGTGGTGTTTAGCCTTTATCAAATCCACAGGGTAAACAGGGCCTGTGTTTTTGATGTGGGATATGGGGTGCATATTCCCAAAGAAAAGGACTATCAATTTGTCATAGAGTGAGTCTGCACATGTACCTCCCCAGGGGGTTCAGCAATTGGAAGAATCTCAGCTGTATTACAAAGATCGGCACATAAAAGCGAGTCCTGGTTGCAGTTCTTTGTTTCTGATATGCTGAGAAGTGTCTGAAAAACTAATGTACACAGCCTGCCTCTAGCATGGGGAAAGACTTCAGTTACTCAAGTGCTTTGGATTACATTGATCGCCATCTGATTAACTTAAATCGGAATGGTAAATGTTATCTTGTGTCTATCTTATGTCTCTAACGAGGAAGATAAACCACTTACTTCACCTGTGTTCTAAGGCTCTGTATGACTATGGTCTGTATGTTTTAGTTACCATGCTTTTAAATTATGTTGAGATCAATACATGTTAACTTATTTGTGGGGAAAGTTTTAGATGGCCACCTGTAAGTTGTGATGGGTCTAAAACATTTTCCTTTAGAAGATAAGGGAGATAATTGCAGGAAGAATAGTATTATGCATGTTGACAAACAAGTAAACTCTCTCTTTAGTATTGACCTGACAGCAGATGCAACTACTAGTAATGCCGGTGTCAATAGTGCAGACTTGAGGCAAGAAGAAGATGACAGCAGCTTCTCACTGATAACCTGGAACATTGATGGGCTGGACCTAGGAAATCTAAAAGAACGAGCTAGAGGAATCTGTTCTTACCTGGCGTTGTAAGTATAGCTTCATCTTTATATTGTCATGTACCCAGCTTTAAAGGAAAAAGCAAGCTTCTTGTTTTAGATATTTATGAATCTTCATGCCCAAATTATCTTAACGTTAGGTGCAACAATACAAACACTTTATAAATCCTAAATAGCTGAATAAAAGTTGATATACTGGTTGGAAGAGGTGTGAACTTATGCAGCATCCCAAAGGTTAAATATTTTGCGATGCTTACTTCAAAAAGCTTTTTTTATAATGAACAATATTGTTCAAGTTGCAGTCATACATCAAGAGCGTGCTTCATGCTTCCATCCTGTAGATGAGAGAAGGGTAAAACTACAAGAAACTTGTTTGTCTCATTCCAGTAGTTTGAATTAACCTCATGCTAGAGCAAACTGTTTGAAACAACAACAAAGATTTTTGTAGTGAAATGTGAGAAGTGACTCTCTTGCCATTACTGGTACTTGTCTATCGAAAAAGAAAATGTGCAAGGTAAAATAAAAACAATAGAATCTGTGATACCTTTTATAGTTCCACCAGTGGAAGCCTCCCATGAATATATTTATGAGCAATTTAACAATTACATAAGTTGATTTATCTTAATACAGTAACTTAGTGTAAATGAAATGATTTAAACAAGTAATAATTTAAGTTCCTCTTAAAACAGCAGAAACCCCTTAAATAAGTCAGTTTTCACTTGATTTTGTTAATCTGGGGTGACAATATTTTTCTTCTGTAAATAAGGCCTTAGGTTTGTCCTTCACCTGCTTAAAGCAGGGCTATTCAGCAGTGTAGCAAAAGTAGGGACAGCTGTAAAGTCATGTCTAAATCAGCATTTTCAGGACTGCTGCCCCACATGAACTGTTACTTTAAGAAATAAAAGAGCTTGGCATCAATGAGACTGGAGAGAATGAGTGGCAGGTTACCTGAGGGGATCTGATGTAAGGGTAGCAGCTGGAATCTTCTGGAGAACTTAGATGTTGCAGAATATGTTCCAAAGCTGCTTTGCAGCTGCTTAAGTTGAATTCCTCATGTATGTAGTATATGAAACCTGTGCAAACGTTTGCAAGATCAAGGTATAAGGAAGTCGTGCATTTTATTACCATGTAAGTTCCATGTCCATAATAATCATTGTTTCCTCCCTTTTAGCAATGGTGATGTGTCTACATGCTACTAAATGTGATGGAGAGAGTTTTTTTCTTTTTTTAAAAACCAGATTCTTACAATATCTAGGAAGACAAGGTGCACCTGAAATCCCTGACCCTGTTCCATTTGGCCTCGGAGTGTAACAGTACTACCTTTCAGTAGTTAATTTAAAATCTTGTCTTGCTGATTTCAGATACAGTCCAGATGTCGTGTTTTTACAAGAGGTCATCCCACCACATCTCTCTCTTCTACAGATGAAAGCAGGCAGTTACACTATTATTCCAGGTAAGAAATAACCCTGTTTCTGAAGACAGAAACCAGAAAAAGTAAGTTTGATTTTATTCCGTCTACCGTGCCAAAATCTCTGACCATTTGTAGGAATGAAAAGAGTAAAGTGAAGAAGCACTTAAATTACTTTCTGTGTTTTGATATCAGGATATAGTTTGATGCAAATTGTGCATGTGAAAAGCTTGCTTGCCTGGTGGTTTCCTTTGTATTTTTTCCTGCATTTTGAAAGACTGCTAGGAAGGGTAGCCAAAAAAGTGCCATAGATAAGTAATTTCTTAAATATCTGCATTTAAAAAATCTGAAAAATTCACACCGCTCTTATGAAAGTTTTAACTAATGACTTTGTACATCTTACAAATTAACGTGATTCTCCCAGATCATGGTAAAAAGGTCTCTTTCAGAACCTTAACTTTATGGCAGAAGATATCCGCGACCATTTCTTTCCCCATTCCTCTTTAGGTAACATAGATGGCTATTTCACTGTCATAATGTTGAAGAAATCAAGAGTGAAGCTACTGAAACATGAGATAATACCTTTCCCAACAACCTCCATGATGAGGAACCTTTTGGTTGTGCATGTGAGTGAGTCAGTATGTACTAAACAGCTGTATTTCTGCCTTCAAAACAAAAAGTCCCAGGAAAGTCTAGACTGGCTTTACTCTATGACAGTCTCAAACAGCAGAAAAACTTCTTCTCCAAAAATACAAACCCCGTTGCATTTGATGCTAACAAACTTAAATCTTTTATATAACTTACTGGCCGTACTTTGTTTTCAAGTCTCATAACCTCTGAAAGCAAAACTAAAAGCCTGTTATCCTCCTGTAAGCTACTTTTCTTCAGTGTAAAACTAATATTAACCAGAGCTCTGTCATTCAGTAATTTACTTTGTGATTAGATTTTGTCTTTGACCTTCTTATCACGGTGTGGATAGTAACATTGCCTCTTTGTTTCACACACAGGTGAGCATATCTGGTAATGAAATTTGCCTTATGACCTCTCATCTGGAAAGCACTAAAAATCACTCTAAGGAGCGTGTGAAGCAACTGCAAATAGTGTTAAACAAAATGCAGAAGGAGTCCGAATCCGCCACTGTTATATTTGGAGGGGATACAAACCTCCGAGACAGCGAGGTAAATAGAAATAAACAACCTTGTTATTTTGAGAAGGTATTCTGACAAAGTCTTCTCAGGCTTTTCAGTTGTCTTTATGAGAAACGACCTGCTTAGGCAGAACAGAGGTATGCAACATTTATTCTTAAAAAGTGGAAATGTGACTAAGTTGAAGCTGTGGCATTGCTAGGCTGAGGCATTGTTGCAGCTGAGGTGATATATATGAAGAGCTTCCCCCCTGCCAATAAAATGCTTTATTGGCAATATTTATAGCTGAGAAGATGCAGGGATAGTCGATGAAGTTTCGACTTCAAAAGCGTGTTCTCATTTTGAGAACCTGATCTTTACTTGCTCAACTCTGTGATTCTCAGACTTAATGCTTGTAGAATCAATGAAAGAAGAGGGTGCTCTGGAGAAATAAATCTTGGGAGTTTAAACTTAATCCCCCATCATTGAGACATTCAAAATTAGAAGTAGTTTTTGGCTGATGATATTAAAAGTGAAATTTGTGCATTATTACTAAAAGGTCAGTGTTTCGTCTTTCCCTATCATGAAATTCCATTGCTATGAACTGGAATGACATCGTTTCAGAGAACACGGTGTTGATGCCCATACCTCAGAATTTCAGAGCTGAATGTTTATTTTGTAACATGTTTTGGATTTAGAAAGTACTACAGGAATTGGTCATGCTTTAGAGTATCCTGAGAAATACCACAATTTAGAAACTTCTCCAATATATTTGTTTTTAACAACTCATATTTTGCAGAAAAAAGTGATATTGTGACAACTCAGTTCTGTTTTTGAAGGTAAAATTTGTGAATTCAGTATCTCATGGATTCCCCCCACCTCTATTTTCAGGTTACTAAACTAGGTAACTTACCTAACAACATTACGGATGTCTGGGAGTTTTTGGGTAAACCTCAACACTGCCGCTATACTTGGGACACCCACTCCAATACCAATCTGGGTGCAGAGTACAAGTGCAAGATGAGGTTTGACCGCATTTACTTTCGGCCTGCAGCAGATGGGGGACATATTATTCCACGAAGTATGGACTTAATTGGATTGGAAAAACTAGACTGTGGCAGATTCCCTAGTGATCACTGGGGTCTTCTGTGTAACTTTGATGTGATATTGTAAAAAAGAAAAAAGGCTTGCATTGTTAGTTTTTAGGTGATCTGTTCTTGTTTTTACAAAATTTTACCCTCTCAGTTTAAGTAGGATGTATTTAAATCTTCAACCCTAACACATTCTCCGCTCTTGACTTATGCTGGAATGGCTTCATTTCAAGCCGGGGTCCCCTTTTCCTCATTGTATGCATCTGTTCTTGAATCACGTTTTTTAAATATTTATTTTTAACAATGTATGCAAATATAAAAACAAATTCTAGTTTTAAGATGGGAGGAAAAACCTGTAAATAAAATTCATAAACATACTTGGTGGCTTAAAAGATGCTTTTATTTTGGCATGTGTTATAATCTCATAATAAATGCTTTTCTTATTTTAAGAATACTTTTATTATGCCTGCTTTGTTTCTTTTGTAACCATTTCCATCATCCTTTACAACTGTCTTTTGTAGAATGTTTTGTATTAGCTTCTGAAGTTTGTGTTGTACCTATGTATGCCTTCAGGCAAGACAATAAAGGAGCTGAGGAAAGAATGACTAGATTATCACAGAATAAGGGTTTCTTAAGTAAGGATTAAACTAATATTGAACAGATTTAAGAATGATATGCCTTCTATTCGACAAGAAAAGCATGTAGAGAGATGCACACAAGTTGTTCACTTGGGATGGTGTATACCTTGCTTTGTATTTATTAACCGGAATATGAGTTGCAGATTAAATTGTGTTATCTTTCCAGTGAACCTCTAGAAACAATGCTCTTAAACTGCTGTGCAAAGCCTGAACAGCTCAGGGTCTCGCTGAGTAAGAAAGCCTGTTTGATCTTTTGCAAAGAACTGTGTAATCAATCTCATAGAAGCTGTCGTTTTATAGATGTGCAAAGTACTGAGCTGATTTAAAATGGGAAGGCTTCTAACTTTCTAACGTGAAGTTCAGTGCACAGGCATGGAGAGGAAGTACAGACGACGGGTGTCAGTGATGCAAAGTGAACATAGAGACAGCCTAAATTCCTTTACCTCTTTGTTGTTGTTGTTTGTCTTTGGTCTTAACCCCAAAGCTTACAAACAACTTGTGTTTTGCTGGACTTCTGTGGTGGGTTGGCCCTGGCTGGTAGCCAAGCTCCCACCCAGCCGCTTGCTCAGTCCTCCTTTCCCTAGTGAAATGGGAGGAGGAAATAGGAAAAACAAACAAGAAAGCTCATGGGTCAAGATAAAGACAGGGAGATCACTTACCAATTACCCTCATGGGCAAAACAGACTCTATTTGGGGGAAATTAATTTATGGCCAATTAATATAGATAATTAATTACTGATTTGGGTATTGGGAAGCAAGAAGATGAACACTAAAATACACCTTTTTCTCTGCCCTTTCCTTGGCTTGATGTCACTCCAGGCTCCTCTCCTGCCCCTTGTTGTCGCTGCAGGTTGCACTCTGTCCCTGCAGCAAGGTCAGGAGCAGCGCAAGAGGGGTTTGTGGTCGGCTGTGTCCTCCCTCTCCTGCTTCTCTGCTCCGGGGTGCGTCCTCCACAGGCTCTGGCAGTATGTGCTCTGCCATGGAGCACCTCCTCCTCTGACCTTGGTGCTGCCTCTGCTGTTTCTCAACTCTTCTTTTTTCCCTCCTCCTCTGCCTGCCCAGCATTTTCTGCCCTTTCTTACACACTTTCCTGGAGGCACCACTGCAGTGCCCAGCTGTGCCCTGTGGTGGGTCCGCTGGAGCCAGCTGTGTCCGGCACGGGGCAGCCCTGGCCTCTCCTCACAGAGGCCACCCCGCAGCCCCTGCTGCCAGCGCCTGGGCACCTGCGCCCACCGCAACTTTAAAAAAAAGAAAAGCATCTTCTCACACAGGCAAGCAGTGGTGGCACCCCGCTGCAGCCCTTCCCACCCAGCAAGGAAAACTCCACTGACTCTGTTATTGCTTAGCCTAACACGCCTGCCTGCGTGCTCCAACCAGCCAAGCGCGGGGCAAGAATTATGTCTGAACATCTGAACATTGCCCTTCCCTCCTCTGTCTTGGACCCTGAAAACACAGCGAGTGGGGCTTGGTGTGATACCAGGCAGCAGAAGACAAATTAGTGGATCCCTACCCTGAAATAATCAGGATCCTCAGCCAGCTCCTCCTTGTCCCAGGAATGGGGAGGCCTGAGGTAGATGTGGTTTTCCGTTGATTCAAGAAGAGGCCTAGGTGACTTTACTAAACAAGCAAATAAACCCCAGGAGATGATAGATTTATTCATCTCCACAGAGATCAGCTGCAGAAATCTCCAGTTCTGCTTTCTCTTCTTTAAATGTCAAACCCTGAATTCCTTTTAGTAAAGGTAAAAGAGGCCAGCCTTTTTTGGGAAGGATGTCCAAATCCTTGTGTCCTGATCACACTCAACCCATTATTTTGTAGTTACCCAGCTTCAAAAACAAGGAGGCCGAAGTCACCAATACTTCTTTTAACTCATCAGGCCCGTGATCTCTTCTTTCTATTCCCAGATAAATAGTTCTATACAAAAGTAAAAAATATCTACAACTGCCAGGATTTTCCTTCCGGGTTTGAAATGGGGCTGGCGCAATCACACCTTCTGACTTGCTGCGCGCTCTCTTCTTCCTCACCAGGAGCCTTCAAAGAAATGTCATGGGGTTTGTTTTCACCACTTACGCCTCCTTCCCCTCCCCGGTGGTTGCAGCCAAAGGATTTGTGGGGAAGGTGAAGGCAGGGGATAACGGCTTAACTTTCCTAAAGGCGTTGGAGAAGGGGAAAGCACAATGCTGTCATGCTTCGCCACAAGAAACACCAGTCTTTGTGGCCTTCTGTATTATGGCTGCTTTTGTTTATGTGGCTGCACCTTCTGGGCCATTTTGGAAGATACGAAAAAGGCTGATTGCTGTTTTTCTAGAACAGGTCGTTAATTTGGGGAAAAAAGAACAGGGAAAAAAAAAGGATTCAGAGCAATGTGTGACTTAGCTTGATGCCTAAACTCCAGACCCATCTCTAGCATTGACTAACTGATCCCTCCTCTGGTCAGCAGTCTTTCTTAAGCTTTTAAATAGATAGTGAGTGGGGACATAATATTTTTATTAGGAACAAGCAAAGACATAACACTTTGTAAGGGCCAATTCATTTTTCTAATTATAAAAGATAGGCAAGAGGAAGACTATATTCAGTGCAATGAGTGGTTAGTCATTCTTTCAGAATGAGGAAATTATGCAAACAGCCTTTAAAACTCTTCTTGAACTACAGAAAAAGTGATAATAATTAAATAAATTTAAGAAGACCTAAATGCTAAATGTTTTACTGACTATTGGATGTGAAGCAATACATCGTTAATTAAATGTACTTTAAACCACTTAATAAGCACCCAAATTGCTGACAATCAAGAGCAGTCAGAGCCCTTAAATTAATTTGCCTCTTAATTTACTCAGTGATGTAAAAGGTAAAATATCTGCTGAATACGGCAACTAAAACTTAAAGGGACAGAAACAACAAAGTTAAACCAAGCAAAAGATTTCTTGGCCTACGATTTGTAATTTGATTTGTTTTCCTGATTCAGTCACATAATATTATGGCATCGATACACCCCAAAGGTCTTATACAAACATGTGAATGTGAGAAAATGCAATAATTCTCCCCTATTAATAATAAACAGCAACAATGGACCTTGCGGAAATCATCTACTGTTGGAGGCATTAGTTTATTAATACTTTGATTCGGGTATCAAGAGAAGCAATTTCTTCTGAGGATCCAGCCAGTCTTAAATATTTGTACATTAAAAGAGCTTGAACTTACTAAGAGAGAAGAGATATGCACAGAACAAAATAAAGAACTGTTAAACATCTAAGGAAGTAAATAATAAATAGATGGATTAAAAAAATGGCAAAAATAGTAGCAGGCAAAACCACAGTAACAGCAGAAAACTATGTTATCATGATTGAAAGTATATACCTAAGGAATATGGATGCTCTTGACTGTAGGGAGTAATCTGAAACTATAACTAATAAATTGTTTTACAAGGAGGAAGTGCATGGAAGATTAAAGCCATAAACATCACACATCATATGCAGGTTTGGAAGTCAATTTGATACAAGAACAGACAAGACATATCTAAAATTACCAGATCAAAATACAAACATGATAACCCGTATTATGGCAACACCTGCAGAACCTATTGTTATGGTTGCTGTACAAAATAAAAGATGAGAATAATTACACAGAAACAGATGGGCTGTGTTTTGATGAGCAAATAGCATGATTTTCCATTGTATCAGCTCAGCATGTTTGAAAAACTCCACAAAGGTCGTGTTATCACTTCGGCATATCTTAATGTGTTTTTACCCAGTGGCAGGCAATCCGGTACAAAATCCTGCT